AGGCTTATCTTTTCATCGCCCATTCAATACCTGTCTTGCCAAGAAACTAAACTTCCATTAATACTAGAAAGATCGATAATGGACGTAAGAAAGCCTATTTTCCAGAAAAAAAAAGAGAAAGATTTCATAATTTTCAACCGACATAAACACTAATTTTTCTGTCAATTAATGTCGAACGCTTCCTGTATTGAAACGGCTATTCTGACCGTTACCATCAGCCTAGCGTGACGCCAAAATAAAATATAAAATGCTGGGAAAACTATATGAGCGTTACTTATTATTTTATGTGCTGTGTCCCTTCAGAGTATGTGCGATCATGGTTCTCCCCAACTTCCTGTTTTTTTATAGCATCATTTAGTTTGTCTTTTTTTTTTCCTACTACCTGTTCTACCAACCATTTACGCAAATTCTTTAGGTCGGTTAATCTCAGGTTTCCTCTATCCCTCTTGCCTCCATAAACTATGAGCGCAAAATTTTATATGTCCTCTTCCCTCATTACATGTCATCCTAGAAATATCAAATGTCTGTCTGTCTGTCTCTCTCTCTCCGATTCTAAATATATGTCTGTTTTCTAGGACCTAATTTCTATTACATTGTCTCTTCTTCATCTCTAAAGAGATTGTTCACTGCCATATAGGAGGGCCTATATAACTTTTTTTTCTTTTTTTTTTTTAAGCATTACGCCCCGAGCAAGGCGAGAAGCCACTAGGACGCAAGGGTTTACAGAAGATTTGGAGTAAGATCAGATAGGAGTGATAGAGGAAAGGATGAGGAGAAGGGTTGTGGATACATCAAGACAACTGGAGATGTCGATTGACATTACATTTGAATAGTTGAAAATTATAGCTCTCAGGGAAACAGTAATAGGGAAGGGAGTTCCACAGGCGAGAGGTGCGAGATATGAAGCTATTGGAGTAGAAGAGACGGCTACATTTAAAAGTTTCTACAGTTAAAGGGTGAGAGCGGGATGCCAGCCTCGTAGGGCGCTTGAATTCATGAAGTCTGGGAACCAGTGAAAGCAGCTCATTACCACGAAAGTATTTGTAAAAAAAGACAGTGAGAGGCGACGGCACGTCTGTGAGAGAGCAACTGTAGACGAGATGCCAGATCAGAGCCAATTATATTACATATCCGCCTCTGGATCTTGTCCAGAAATTACTTTTTCTTTGTTTCTAACAAAATATTCCTATTTTTTTTCTTAGCTTTTGGAAGGCATCTTTCGTTATTCCAGTGCGTCTCTGCATAAATAATTAGAATATGAAAGTAATAATGGTACCCATCATTACTGGAGCGTGGGGAGTAGACTCCAAAAAATTTGCAAAAACATAGGAAGAATTTGAATTCCGAGAATTGTTTGAAAACATCTAGAGAACAGCATTACAAAAATCAGTTTATGGCGGGTCCTAACTATGGCAAAATCACAGGACAGACAATATTCCATATCCTTGAATGGTAAGTAGTTTAGGAGAAGGAAACACTAAATTCAAACAAGCCTACCACCTCTGCAATCTTACCTCTTTAGGCAAAGTCGAGAAGAAAGTAACTTCAAATACAAACCCACTTCGCATGTCATCGCAAAGAAAAGAACTGCCCCCAGCTACAAACAATAACGAACTCTTCGGGCTTAGTAGAATGGTTCGAACAAACACGAAACTGGGACATGGCACGGCGTCGTGGACCTCTCTGGTTTTTTGGATCATTCGCCCATGGGTGTATCACCCACAATACCTTAGACGACGATTTGCGGAGGGTATTTGTAGAGGGTATTTTAGTATTAAGAAGATTTGCTGTCACATAATCTTCATTATAAGAAATCAGATACAAATGCTGTGAAAACTGCAAGAACGGTAATTATAGTGCCTGTTAAATTTGAATTATTGATTTTTAGTGAATAATTAGTCATTTTCTAGCCATTAATTTACACGCTTCAATGCCATTTTAACGGAGGAAATTGTTCGATAAATCTCCATTCGCATATTTCCAATCAATTATTATCGGTGTATTGATCAATTGAAAATTTCTCTGGTATTAATCAATTTCGGAGTGTTTGGGGTATATGTACGTCATAATGATGACAGCAATTTTCAGCAGTTTCATTAAACCACGAAATGATTTGTCTTCCAGCATTTGTCCCAATAAAACTGTTTTTGTTGAATGTTTTCATCCATAAATTAAAAAGGATTGCATATTACATTACAAAGGATGACCTATTTTCTGAGTGAATTTCTGGGATTATTTTTGTGAATTACATATGGAATAATGCCGTCATTTTTGTAGTAATCACAACGTTTTGATGGAATAATCATCAGTTGTCTTGCGATACGTGTAACCATAATGAAATTTTGAACTGAACGCTTTATTTAACCGAACCCAGCAACCAAAAAAATAAAAATAAAAAAGAGACGTGACAGCATAGGGGATAAATCGTGATAGCAGCAGCTGGGAAAGCAGCAGGCAGGCAATAAGAATATTACGTTTAAGGCTCTAAGTTCTAGCATTCCTAATTGTCTATAGATACCGTAAAAAGAAAGAAAGAAAGAAAGAAAGAAAGAAAGAAAGAAAGAAAGAAAGAAAGAAATGACATAGGAGTCGATAAGTCCTTATGATACAAAACAGGAACGTTTGGGGCAAGATGAAAGAAAGATGGACATAAAAGAAAGAGAGTAAACCCTGCTTTGGGGGGGTGACTGTCTTTGCAAAAGGGACATGATGTCTAATAAGAATCAATAACGTAACGAAAAAAGATGATTATTGTGAAAATGTCGGTGTCAAGATTAAAGTGAAGTATGGGTGGAGGTTTATTCATAACAATTAAATTAGACTAGAAATATCTTCAGGATAAGAATATGGAGACGAATTGAAGTATGTGTGAGAGCAAAGAAAGAAAGAAAGAAAGGAAGAAAGAAAGAAAGAAAGAAAGAAAGAAAGAAAGAAAGAAAGTGTTGAAAATTCCGTTAATTCAAAAATCGAAAAAACGCATAGAAAGCCCAGGTAACAGTTGGTAGAGTTACGGAAAAGATGGTCTTCGCGATGAAGCAGAACATATCAGTAGTTAATAATTGCAGTATATTTATTTGTGTTAAAACAGAAAATGCGGCAGAAGGCCAATAAAGGGGATGTGGAATCAATCTGTCATCAATCTGTTCATCAATTTGTCTTATCTCAAACCTGGCTCAAACCTAGCTCGCCAAAATCACTAACACAATCAAAGTATACAATACTCCTTGCACTAAAAAAACACATTCTTATTTAACATTCTTACTACAACCACAATAATACCTTAAAGTATCTATGAAGTCTTAAATAGTCCCCATATGTACAATGTATCTGTGTGGGTGCGGAATATATGTCTTAAAAATGAAACCCCAATGAATTATTTACAATGATTACAATTCCATGTACAAGAAACTGAACAAAATAATGATGCGGCTGCGGACAAGCCAATCTTAATGTCATACAGTAGATAACCCCCAACGAACTGCTTCCACACTGCCATGTTTCCTCGACGCTGCTCGGGGAACTCAACGTACCTGCATTTGTCAAGAGCAAAGCCTCAACTCCTACCGCTTTCCCAGCATGCGATGCACTCGTTGGCGTACCAGTGATCACTTCTTCCCACACAACGTAAAACATACTAAGGGCAATTGTGGTTACCTTGCATATATATATATATATATATATAGACATTTGAAATCTATAAGGCATATAATAAGGAAAGCGAGTTTAGACAACTTGACACACAAAGAACTGATTAAAGGCAAATGAGAGAGAGGGAGAGGAAAAGAACACGTAATCTACTAGAGAGGATAAATAAAGCTATGGAGGAATAAGGTTTAGGAGAGCTAATAAAAATACAAAATTTATTTAGAGTTACAAAGTAGAGGAAATTGTGACGAGCCATAGTAGCCAATGTCATGAAGAGACACGGCACATAGAAACAGATGACCATTTTTGTAAAATCAGAATATAAAAATGCATAGGTTAACATATTTTAGGAAAATAAATTCTAGAAATTTTCAAGCTAATAATTTATTTCATATAAGTTGATTTTCCTTTTAACTCTCAAAAAGGTTTAAAAGCCGTCCAATATTATCCAACTAAATGAGTACATTTGAATGATAAGTAGACATAACGAGTTAGAAATTATCGATAAATGATTCATAACAGTATTCAAGAGGTAATTCACTTATTCATGATCTAGTTTGATGTTGTTGCTACATATAAAACATTGATTTGAATAATCCTGTAAATACTTTGCAAAAATACTATCTTTCGTGTATTGGTAAATATTGATCACGAACCCAGCAGTTCCAAATTTGAAATTTAAGAACATTGATTTTAAACCTATAACTATGAAGCTTAATAGACATAGAATTTTGTGAGAAGTAGAAAGGTGCTAGTTTTATGCTTACAAGCTTTGCCAAAAAGCAGGCCGGAAAATAAAAAATATTTGATGTCGGAAAGTAAAATATTTCAAAACGAAGAAGGTTTTTTTTGTTGTTAAGAATATATGGTATTAATATCATGGGTGGAGGTTTATTCATAACTTATCAAGCCTTATTCTTTCTTTTTCTAGTCCTTCATTTCTTTCTTTCTTACTTTTATCATTTCTTTCTTTCTTATTCTGTGAATCTTCTCTTTATATTATAAAATTCTGTGATTACTTTATTCCGTCCGTCTGTCACACCCTCTAAAATAGCCATACTTTGACTGATCGAAACAACATTTTAGGGAGAAGGGCAAACAGGTAAATGGTTACAAAGCACAGTTTTTTATTAATTATTTTGGAAAAATTACGTGTTATTATTTTACATACAAAATATTCCAACACTTTTAAAATCAATTTAATGATTAAAATAACAAATTCTTCTATATAAATAAATATGAATATCAGTGTGTGTATGTCACACATTTTCAACTTTACTCCTAGAGGACGTAGGTCAATATATCGTACCATTTTGGAATTAGGCCGACTCCGTAAGCAAATTAAAAACATTCCGGGCCAGACCTGCAATCAAGGAGGCACAGTGGAGTAATAGCGGCTTGGATTGAGAAATCGCAGAGCCGAGTTCGAATTCCAGTCGAATCCATTACATTCACTTACGTGCTAACACCCTTGAGAAAGGTGTGAATCCTCTTCTTCTCCCTCCAGCTATGGGTAAATAGCAGAACAGACTGGGTTCTATAGCCCTGGATGGCAACTGGTCTAGGAGAAGGGCATCTCTGAATTCAAAACCCGCTGAGGGTCGTTTGGGAACCTTGTGGCACGTAGTGAACCAGGTCTCTGTATTCGGCCCTTCAAAAAGTGTGGATGGTCCTGCACGAAACCTTCACCACTATAATCAAATCTCATGTGCTATACATGCGGGTTTGGGGACCGCTTGTGAATTCCAAATTCCCATGAAACTCCAATATTGGAGCCGGCTCAACCCACCCCGGATGAATGCCGTTACAAGTACAAGTATAGTAGTACAGTAAAATCTGCAATCCTGAAATTCTGGATTCCCAAGTTTTCATTCCTGTGACTGTTTTCGACGATTCTTTTCTTTCTTCTTACGTGATTTTTTGGCGACGAATTTTTTTATACTATAACAGTTTTTAGAAGTTGGAAATAAATTTGAAAATAATTGAAGTTAATTACGAAATACAGCGAAAGTCACCCATTAACTAAAAATATTTCTTTGTATGGAAAGTAAGGACCTACGTACATCAAATTGTCTTGAAATGAAGTGGCGACAGAAGAATTACCGTTGGAATTTTTAAGAGTTAAGCTTAAATATTAATGCAATACTTAAAATGTAGCGATTAGTTTTGAGTTCTTCTGTAGTTTATTGTTGCCTATCGCAGACGGCCGCAGTGTACTTTGCAAAAAGAAATCTCCGTCAATAGAGGACCAGATTGCAATCAAAAGAGCTAAGGTTGCAGCGAGGAAAAGTAAGTCCCATGCAAATGAACACCCAGATCGTACTTCAGCCATGAGAGCTTTCAATGTTGAGAATATGCAAAGACTTAGTGACACTCAAACGCCTGAATAAGTCGAAGGCTCCATCAAGAGCCCTCCGCAGAACCTAGCTTAATTGCCGCCCGATAGAGTGGCTACTAAGCTAGTATTTAATAAAATAGAAATTTGTTTTTTTGAATATCTTTTTTTTTTAATTTTATACATACAAGAATCCAAATTCCAGTCCGCCTATGGTTGCATGCTCAAGAGTAAGAAATCCTAAGAATTTATTCTTCGCTGTTAAAAAGGAAAAAGAAAAAAATGAAATGTTATCAAAAAGGACAGTAAAGTTTACCCTGACGTCCTATAAAATTAAAGAAATTATTAAACCCCGAAGTGGGATTTGTGTCCAAGTATTTTTCCAAACAAATCAGCTTATTTAAATTTAATCGATTGGTTTGCGAAATTGAACGAAACGTTGAGTTTTTAAATTTCAACAAAAATGTTAGCAATTACGTCAACAATGCTAAACACTGTAAGAATTTCAAAAACAATTCTAGTCTCTAAATAATTTGTTCTCGATTAATAGTAACATATCTTCCGATTGTCGATAAGGATGACTGTCGAATGTTATTTTCTTTATTGAAACTGGGACATGAATCTTTATTCATTTACTAACTTCGTCGGTATTTTCACCTAGTAAATTTTATTCTGAATATCGGCCAATGTTTATTATAAATTTTTAATCAGGAAATTCTATTTTTCGTTTTTAATCACTATAGTATTCTTTCTTAAATAAATTTCATTTTAGGTTTGTTTGCAGGTGTTCTCTAAGAATTCCTATCATGGCGTTTCTACCATTTCTCATTTCGTTTCGTCTTAATTTTGCTTTTTCGACATCTCTCGTCTCATTCGTTTCTTTCGATATCTAAAATCTCGTCGTATTCTTTCTTTTTCGTCATCTCTCTTTTCGTCTTATTCTTTCCTTTTCGACATCGCTTGTCTCGCCTCGTTTCATTATTTCCCCTTCAGCATGCCATGGTTCGTATACTGAAAACAATAAGTTTTGACTGAAAATTTCCGAATATATAATCTGATTTGTTTAATCAATCTAAGTCATTGTTCACAGAGGTGTTGATATCAATCTCTGGAGGTCATCTATCATACAGGGGATCTATAATGTACTTGGGGTTAAAAAATAGAGGTCGATAAATAAGACGCGGTGATTTACGACTAAACCTCACCAATTTCCAACCAAATACTAATGTTCATCAAACTAGTCCTTCCCATTAACGTTGTCAATTAGGTAAAAGGTATATTATTATTATTACTACTACTATTATTATTATTATTATTATTATTATTATTATTATTAAAATGCTCAGCACTAATTCAAAAAGATTACAAAAGCAACTCCTACCCAATAGCGGAACGAGCAATAACAGCCAATGATTAGCGTAACATATTTTACTGAAAGATTGTTATAATAAAGATTTTATAATCTTCAACCGACGGAAACTGGCTATTCGGTCAATGATAGTTATTATAGTTCATTATTAGTAATGTTATCTCTCTATCTATCTATCTATCTATCTATCTATATATATATATATATATATATATATATATATATATATATATATATATATATCCATCCAGTCTGTTCTAATCTATCCATCATCTATCTATTTATCTACCTATCTATCTATTTATAATAATAATAATAATAATAATAATAATAATTACACGAGAACAGTCACTGAACAGGTTGCAGCAGATGAGGTGATCCTACAACACTGAGGCAGACCGATGGTACTGCGTGATTATTTTAACTCACTAATAACTTACGCAACACGATGTGGTCTCTCAGCATCAGACAATCTTGATCGCATGGCAAGAATCAGTCAAAATAATTGTAATCTACCTGTGCCTCATAGGTAAGACTCTGTTTGGGACGTTAATACACGAATCGTATCACAATGTGTAAAACGCTATATGTTCCAAAGCGGAACTCCTTTTTAAATACTGACCAAATCCGACGACGCTGTTTAACTGCAATAGTCAAACCCGAAATGGTGCCTACAAGGTGATTTAACTATAAGCATAGCATAATGCATTAATCAATTAATATATCCTCTAAACATCAAATTTCCCTGAATGGCTTAGTGCATCGTTATTTCTATTAAACTAATTATTTATGAACAAGTTATTTTTCAGTTTTTTCACCTTCCAATTTTCATCAAATCTAATTTTAACATCTGACAATGTTTATTTGGCAATCTTAATGTTGATCAGAAAATTCTCTTGTTTCTAAAGATCTAAATTTCGAGATATTGTTTTAGAATATCGACCAGGAAATGTTTCTCGACCTCTTTTTTTTAAATCAGGCTTTTATATTTTGTTCTTAATAATAAGAAAAATAATTATAATTTACGTAATAACTCCTATGTAGCTTTGTTTTCTAAAATCTTTTTTTTTGGGGGGGGATTACATTGTTATTTTGCCTATTTCTTCTACTTTTTCCGATCTATAACCTCATGGCAAGTATATGAGAAGAATGTACAAAATATTATGAATGTGTCACATTTCTTGATAAGCCTATTTTGTTAACCAAGCTAAATGTGCACTCACAATTAATGGCTAGAAAAATGTGTGCTTTCACACATAATAAGAAAAAGATAGATAGATAGATAGATAGATAGATAGATAGATAGATAGATAGATAGATAGATAGATAGATCTGAATAGAATCAGATAGATAGAAAGAAAGAAAGAAAGTAAGAAAGAAAGAAATGAATAGAATTAGAAAGAAAGAAAGAAAGAAAGAAAGAAAAAAAGAAAGAAAGAAAAAAAAAAAGATAGATAGATAGATAGATAGATAGATAGATAGATAGATAGATAGATAGATAGATAGATAGATAGATAGGGGTGCAGAACAACTGAACACCATCGACTGAGCTCCGGGGCAACTTAGGACTTAGACAACTCAGGAACGAGACAAAACATAAGATAAGACATAACTTTTATATGACCGAATAAATGTCATTTATTAATGATTAAACCTTAATTACTGAATATTTATCTTCAAATAAGGCATTTGAAAAGGCATTATGTAAAATATGAATCAAGTTTTTTTTGTTTTTTAATTATTTTAATAAAGTAAATCGAAAAATGTAAAAAAAAATGAAGCATTTTTTCTTTCTAATTATTTTTAATGTAAATCGTGATGTGATTTGTTTTTAATAAAGTAAATCGATACTCTAAAATATGTCCATTCATTGTTTTAGAAATTGAGAACAGGGTAAGCTACTTTAAAAAGTTAAGCCTCGATGTCAAGTGATGAGCTACTTTAAAAAGTTAAGCCTCGATGTCAAGTGATGAGCTACTTTAAAAAGTTAAGCCTCGATGTCAAGTGATGAGCTACTTTAAAAAGTTAAGCCCCGATGTCAAGTGATGAGCTACTTTAAAAAGTTAAGCCTCGATGTCAAGTGATGAGCTACTTTAAAAAGTTAAGCCTCGATGTCAAGTGATGAGCTACTTTAAAAAGTTAAGCCTCGATGTCAAGTGATGAGCTACTTTAAAAAGTTAAGCCTCGATGTCAAGTGATGAGCTACTTTAAAAGTTAAGCCTCGATGTTAAAAGCTACTTTAAAAAGTTAAGCCTCGATGTCAAGTGATGAGCTACTTTAAAAGTTAAGCCTCGATGTCAAGTGATGAGCTACTTTTTAAGCCTCGATGTCAAGCTTTAAAAGTTAAGCCTCGATGTCAAGTGATGAGCTACTTTAAAAAGTTAAGCCTCGATGTCAAGTGATGAGCTACTTTAAAAAGTTAAGCCTCGATGTCAAGTGATGGTTCATTATTCAGTTTTTTGGGGTTTTGTTTTTTATAGCTGTCTTGATTTCCTCACCACCAGGTTCGTTGCTGTTTACGTTTGGAAGCAGACTTTGTATTGTTCGGATTTATGTTATTGTAAATTCTGTTTCCGTTACCGCCTTCAGATTTGTATAGTCAGAGTGGAAATGTGACATGATTTTTTTAAAGCAAATCTCTTCTTCTGATTTTCTTTTGATTGTATATAATCGGAATTTTTTTTTTACTCAGAATTTCAACTCATAAGCTATACTGATTAGTTTCAGTAAGTTTGTTTCTAATTTCCCCAAGATATTGCTTTATCAGATCATTAAACTTTTCAATTTTTACTTAATGTTAATTTTTTCAATATTCTTTCTATGTTTTTCGATTTTGTTTCTTTGTTTCTTCTGTCAATATTTTCAACTCAGTTTTGTCATTCGCCAAAAGAATCAATTAGATAAAATAACACATTTGAAAGAATAAGTAATAATAAAACTATAAACAACTTAAATGCCTAAAGAAAAGAATCGAGAAGGGATATTTTTAAACTACCCAATTCCCTATATATAGCCCGTGAAAGTATTAGTCATATGGTCATGATCTGTTGTGGCACAAACCTATAATTTACTATGCCGTGTATATTTAGAAAGTTCTTAATGAATAATTTAGACAAGTTTTGTCTTCAATAGGGTCCTCTCATATTGAGAGACAAGCTTATTAGTATCTTTATTAAAATGAGAGAAATATATATTTAATGAACAATTCCCCATATGCGGTAATTTTGGATTTTATCGTTTATTAATTATATTGCTCTGGATTAGATTGAGCTCTTTCTGTGAACCAGTTTTAATATTTTATATTACTAGGATCGACTTGGATTATATACCAACGAATTTTTACCTTCATTACACACACACGCGCACAAACACACACACAGACACACACACACATATATATATATATATATATATATATATATATATATACCCACTCACAGATACACACACACACACACACACACACACACACACACACACATATATATATATATATATATATATATATATACACCCACCCACAGATACACACACACACACGCACAGACACACACACATATATATATATATATACTTTTACACATAATATATATTCTTTTACATGCTATAATATGTATAAAAGCTAGAAAATCCTTCCTCTTTTAGGTGTCATGTCTCTCCAGAACATTAGGGATTACGGCTCTCCGCAACATCCTATCCCGCGTAGCTTTATGTAACGTTTGTCTTCTTATTCATCTCAATCTCTGTTCGGCTAGCCATTTGCACAAGTTCGTCAGGTATGATACTCGCTATTTTTCCTCTCTGTTTTTTGCCTCCAGTATGCCCCGTGAATGTCAAATTCTCCATGCCCTCTTTCCTCGTTTTTTCTCCCGCAAATTTCATCTGTTTCTTTCTGATTCTAAGTGTAAGTGTAGTTTTTCTTCCTATTTCACTTGAAAGAAAATCCCTTCATTCATATTGAACATTATTCAGTGAATATTTCGGATCAAAATCCAGCTATCAACTGTCTTTGATTCAGAACCTATTCGTTCATAAAGTCTTAGCCGTTTTGTAGATTTGCGTACAGGGGATTTTACAAGTTTAAGCAATGTACCAGATAAAATCCAAGGATTAGCTTCTGAAACACACCTTCTTTGGTGTTTTTATATGCGAGAAAATGTATTTATTTTCTGTGAAATTGTGTTTATATGTGCCTTTCTCTGTGAGCCTTCGTGTCTTTAGGTATCCATTATCAACACTCAAGTGTTTGTTAATTTCCAATTGTTTGATCAGGGGCGTGTATTCGCTCGTTCCTTACATTTGGGTGCGCATGCGTGCGACTACATTTGTGTCACACTCTGTGAGAAATAAAGCATGACGAATGAACGCCATCCCTTTTGCTATTTACAGGACTAATTTTCCCGGCAAACATCACAACATGAAACCATTTCACTTGAAGCAGTAAACAACCTGAAATTTTGACTGGTACCCGAGGATTCCAATTTCCTTTCTAAGTCCAGCTTTCTTCGATAGTAATAGAAGCAAGGACGCTGTTAAATTTCAGGTCAGGAGAGGTGTTCCAAGAAATAACTCTCCAAATCAATAGTCACGTTATTTATCGTGAGAATAAAAGATAATTCATCTTAATATAGAACCTGATAATTTTCGCTTGTGTGATTTTAAATAGTTTTAATCATTTGAATTGTTTATGTTGTGTTTTAATGTTTCGTAGAATGATAGGACAACAATACAAGAATTGTTTTTTTCAAAATCTAATTGGCGTTAATTTAAAGATATTGGTAGGATTTTCAAAATACATTTGAATCTATATGGTAAATATACCCTGAAAATACAACTTATTAAATTTGAAATATTTATATTTAATTATTTTGTGGTATGGGATTATATTATACATTTAAATGGTTGTTCGTCATATTGAAAATATATACGTATAATAGTTTAATTCTTAATACTTATTTGTACAAAAGTACAGATTCACCGCCATTTTTTAGACAGCTAATGATTATGTACCTCTTTTAATCCGGTCAATAACGAGTGAGTATTTGAATTTCAAGCGACTGCCAGAGTAATTCACCGTGTGTCCACAAATGGCGTTGTATCTGACACCCGATCGCTAGATTGGCTAAAATAGTGTCATTGAGGCGAAATCATTTTTTTGCGGGGTGGGGGGGGTATATCCTAAACTATCTTCCTTATATTTAATCCTAGTTATGTTTTCCAAACAAAGTGCCTGTGACTGGTTATGTCAAGCATAAACACCAGTCGATATCGATGCAAGAAAAAGTGGAATAGTTTAAAAGGCTTAAGATCGATGTTTCAATGCGGACGATAAGCGATATGTATGCTACTGGTTTGTCGATAGTAAATTACATAAAGAACCAAAGAGAAAAAAAATATTGCAATTCGTTACTGAAGTGATTGTAAGAAACAAATGAGCCGTAAAAAAATCTATAAAAACTAGTAAAAGTGCTGAACTTGATCGAATGTTGGTTGAATTCTTTCGACAACGTTGGTGTGATCGAGTTGAATTGTCAAGAAGGGTGTTAATGGAAAAGGTGCAGTATTACAATACGCCTGTGACTACAGTTAGTAATGGATGGTGAAGATTTTTTTTAAAAAAATATAAGTAACTTTAATCACTTATGAAGGAGAATAGTTTGAAAACCACGAAGAAACAGACGAGTTTTTTTAGACTCCTAGCTGACAAGAGGTTCAGCCCAGAGAAAGTTTATAATGTGGATGGCTCTACTCTATATTGTCGATGTATCCTTAGGAGAACCTTCAGTGAAATTGCCGCCAAAACTATTCTAAACAAACTTAACGAAAACATATCTGACTGGAGGTATGACAGGTGCTGATGAAGAAACTCGTTTCTGCATCAGTCTACTGTGAAATTGGAGACATTCTATTGATTCCTGAAAAGAAAAGACAATTGAAAATGATGATTGTCATAGTGGGATTGTGTGTCTGTATATATTAAGATTGCCATAAATCGTAAGAAAGATATGCTAAAAAGAGATGTGTAAAGGTAACACATCGTTAGATAATGATAAAAAGCTGAACAGAACTCACAAAAAAGTCGACACAAATTGGAAAAAAATTATAAAAAGAAACAAAAAAATTACTTTAAGAATGTCATAAGAATGATATTCGAGAAAAATTAAGATCCGAATAAATAAGAAAAGTTAGTTGATTCAAATATCCGAAGAAGTTGATATGATGGGAGAGCTATGGAAGGAATGTTTGTTCTCCCAATTACATTTCTCTCATTATGGGCATTATTATATCCGTGATAATATAACACCGTACATGTTTTGTACTCAGAGATAGTTTTGTAATGCTATGTCGTACACAATATTATATATACACCTGTCCCTTGCTTCGAAATTCCAATCATCAGAAGAAGACCGGAGCCTACAACGATCGAAAGGTTTATAAATATAACAACAAAGATGAGGATAACAGTCCGAGCAATATAAATAGTGTAAACAGTTACAATACTTCATCTCAGAAATATAGACGGACTTTTAGATTTAATTAAA